TTTTTCTGGTCTGGGATATGACTCTTTATGAAACCTCTGGGTCAAACTGCCTGGCATCTAAACTTTGTATGGCTCTGGCTTTAATTAGTTCTGTTTTGGGCTGATTGTTCAGCCTGAGGCAATTTTGCAATCATGTTACAGGGAGGTAGCTTTCTTCAAGTACACTTTGGAATTATGGGCCCTTAACCTCATTATTAAGTCTGTAACCTAGGCTAGCCCTCCTTGTTGGACACTGTTCAAAATGGAGTTCCTTGTCCAGTCTATGTCTGCCAATGGAATCCACACATTCCTAATGTATCTCTATGTGAATCAGTCCTCTGTTCCACCATGCCTGTTGGTGGAGTGTACATATGTGAGCCATTGCAGAGAACAGAGGGGCAATTCAGATGCTGGGAACATTTTTAGAATAATGATACTCGGTGGAATTCTACATAGACTTGCATTTTATTACTATGGGCCAGTTTTGTCAAATAAAGCATTTATTTACAATACGCAAACATGTAAAGTTACTGAAAATTATTTAACTCTTTTGGGTTTTAGGTTTATGCTTCTCTTTACTGTTTACGTAATTTAAGTTTTGACAATAGAAAAGAGAAACAATCCAATTGCACACAAAACTGCCTAAATAGAAGATGGACAGCATAGGAGATTGGGCATCTGTGGATCAGGGAGTCACCCTTTCTGCTCTAATTGATTCATCCATTTAGTTTTTCATTCATTCATCCATATCCATAGCCCCTCTCATATACAAAAAAAAATATAGCATCAAAAATGTGCACATTGTAAAGAGGCAAGTTGTTCAACTTGTCTGGTCCTTCATTTCTTCATCTATAAAACAGGGGGACTGTTAAAAATGTCATAATATTCTGGAAATACTTAGGTAATATATAATCATTGTAATAATAGGAGTAATTATACCTGTAATAACAACAACAATCCAACAAGTCTTTTCTGCCCACAGACTTATGCCAACAACTTGATGGTTAAGAGGTCCTAACCCCAAATCCAGATCTCCTCTGTGCAAAGATCAGCCTAAGTTCAACCACTCCAAGGCTTTGGAGAGGGTCATAGCTTTCCTTGTGATGATCCAGCTTCCTGAAAGGGCCCGAAAAAAGCTAAGAGAGGGGCGTGGCAGGCTGCACCTGCCCTTAGGGAACTCAGGAGATCCACTACTTATATTCCTTTTCTATGAGGCCAGAAATAAACTCTTATACTCAGGCACATCAGGAAATCAGCCCTTGGGCTACATGTACCTTATGAAGCTTTGGGGGTAAAAACACAGGAGCAGAGTTATCTGCAGCTTCTCAAAGAGAAATGAGATGTATGGCATGTTTGTCCTTAAATTATAAGAAGTTCTCTTAATATCTAAGGCTCCAGTGAAGAAAAGCAGGCAGTGATGGGTAGGGTCTTGGAGCTTGGCTTCCCCATCAATAAGCCAGGAGATTGGATTCAGGAGTGAGGACACTGGATGAAGGCTTCCCACTTAGCAAGAAACCAAATTATCAGTTCCTCTTCCCAGCATGTTTCAAATGTGAGTTTAAAAACTATATCTACTCTCTCCTTCAAAGTCGTAGTTTTTATCAGAATTTTTGAAATATTTCAGAAAGTCTTGCCAAATTTGATTTAAATTAAAGGTAAGTGTATCTAGAAGGATGATACCCACAGATATCGTAGGGAATTTTTCTACTTGGAAAAAAGCCATGGAGAACCACAAGGGTGCTAGATGTGAGGGACTGCTTTTTATATGTTTTGAAACACAGAAGCTTTGAGTTTAACATCTGTGTCATATGCTAAACACATGTGACCTTAACTAAACAGCACAAAAACCCACCATAAATTCATTGTCAACCTTAATGGTTTCCTCATTTCAAAACACATTTGTTTTGTAAGTTAATGCCTTAAGGCCACAATTTTAAGGTGACTACACAAAGCTTAAATGAAAAACATATCAGGATCTTTATGGCTATACTACCACACACACACACACACACCGTTTCTCTGTCATTTTAATTCAAAAAGGGAGAAATTTTGCACACATTTGGGTCCTGTGTTTCTGTTGCCACGGACAATTTTTGCTATTTCCAGAATTTCCCCTCCACTTTACCAAGCCAGAAGGGCCAAGTTAACTGGAATTATCTTCCTTTCTTTGCCAGTTTCTGTCTATGAATCTCTCTCTCTCTCTCTCTCTCTCTCTCTGTCTCTCTCTCTCCCTCCCTCCACCCCTAGTGCTCTGTGTATATTTGTGTGCGTGTGTGTGTTTCCAAAAATTTTCTTCAGAAAAAAAGGCCACATTGAGATATTGAAGCTTCTGTAAAAAAAAAGTAGAGATAATTTTTAAAGTTACTTAAAAGCTGGCATTTACTTTTAGACTTTCCTTTATTTTCAAGTTTATGACCCAAGTTCCCTTGATTCTAAAACCAGCTCACTCTCCTAACATCTCCATCCAGGGCTAGAGAAATTCTGAACAACACAATTTCCATGGGAAGAAACAAGAGGCAATGGAAGGAAGGAAAAGCAGCTGAGAGGGAGCGGGGCAGACAGGTAGGTCCTAGCTAGTACTTTTTTGCTTGAGTTCTGCCTGCAGCTGGAAGCAAACCGTGGACCGCTGCTTCCACTCAGCCTCCCATGTGGGCTCCACAGATCATGAGAGTTTCACTTCAGATACATCTTCTGGCAGCATATTAGCCATTTCAAAAAACAATAGACAAGATGAAGTTTTGGACACCTTGTTTCTCACCTTTTTCCCCCTAAAATGTAGATGAAGGCATATCAAGGGACTTTTGGAGGAAAATGGCATATGACATCATTTAGTAAATGTTTTAGTCTGTATCTTAGAAAATCTGAGTGAAATATTCACAAGAATTGGGTTTTTTAATTTTTTTTTTTAATGGAGTCTCGCTCTGTCACCCAGGCTGGAGTGCAATGGCGTGATCTCAGCTCACTGCAACTTCTGTCTTCTGGATTCAAGCAATTCTCCTGCCTAAGCCTCCCAAGTAGCTGGGATTACAGGTGTGCACCAGCATGGCTGCCTAATTTTTTAATTTTTAGTAGAAACGGGGTTTTACCATGTTGGCCTGGCTGGTCTCGAACTCCTGACCTCAGGTAATCTGCCCACCTCAGCCTCCCAAAGTGCTGGGATTACAGGCAAGAGCCATCATACCCAGCTAATTTTTTAATGTTTTTATCTGTGCCTAAGTGCCTGTCTTTATTATTATTGCTCAATGTAAAGTAGTAACATAATTATATCATTTAATATAACATCATGTCTACTTACATAAAAAATTTATAATAATCTACTCTGTGAAAACATAATTGATCACATTTCCATTGGAATATACACATTCCAGTATATATTTAATATACTTCATTTCATGTCTCATTTTAAATAGAAATAAGCTTCTACCTCCCTAACTAAAGAAATATTCAATATACAAGTTCTTACCATCGCTTCAGAGCAGAAAATAATGAGGTCTACCTATTGAATTTATCTTTCTTCTTTTTTTTTAATTTTAGCATTTTGACAGCTGCTATGCCTTAAAGAAAAAAGAATACATCAGTACCCAAATTTGGTGCAGTTTACTGATACTGCCGAGCCTTATTCAAGGATCTGATGTAGTTCTGAGTCAGACTAAGCCAGATCCTTTATCAGAGCACCTGAGGTTCATCCTCTCTGTACAGTGGACACAGCACTATCAGATATATTCTTACTGAACTTTCATCATTACCCCTAGAAGCAGAGATGGGGCAGGTATCAAGATTTCCCCTTAAATATGATATTTAGTGCCTTGTGTCTCCAATCTTTTATTCTACCTGGGAGAGAGCAAAGAGGCACTTCTAAGTTTTGTGGCAGGGGCAAAAACCAAGAGAAGAGGTTGGCATTAGCACATACAATATCTTTTCTCTCTAGTGACCTGAAAACAATCATAAACTAAGTGATATATTTCAAAACAAAAAGTTTTCCTTTAGGGTAATATTGATCATTTATTCATTTTCCATTCATTCAACAGGTTATAGAGCTCCTATTGAATGGTAACCTAGTTCTGGTGACATGAAATTAGGAGGAAGCAAAGCAAAAATCCTGCCCACGGGGAGAAATGACAGAAGCTGCAGAAATGACAGAAGCTGCAGTTGGGGCATGAAGGGTGTTCAAGGCCATGGGAAGTATTCAAAGTCTGCTCTGAGTACAAAGAGAAGCCACCAAGGTGTTTCTAGGAAGGAATGTTATATGGTCTGATTTATGGTTTTAAAAGACCACTGTTGCTACTAAGTTATAGGAGGACAGAGGTGAGATAGAGGGAAGAACAGTGAAGAGGCTATTTTTACAGCCCAGGTAAGAGATGACATAGTCTGCTTGGCTGAAGCAGAAAGAGAAAAGGAGCCAGAGCTGAGAGTAATTTTGACAGTAGCATTGATAGGAGTTACTAAAGGACTAGGCATGGAGGAAGGAGACGGAAAGGAAGAGATCAAGGATGATGCTTAGTCCTTCTGACTTGAGCATGGGAGAGCCATTTGCAGGGTCACAGGGCAAAAATCAAGGATTTTATTTTATGTTAAATTAGAGATGTTTGTGAGAAGCCCAAGAAGGGATACATGATAAGAAACTAGATACATGAGACCAGATCTTAAGGGAGAAAATATAGGTATTTGGAAGCCATGAATGTGTGGACAGTGATTAATGCCATGGGGCTGGATGAGAGTACCTAGGGAAAGAGTATGGCTAGAGGAGAGAGGAGGGCTCTGACTTGAACCCTGATGTTGATATAAGAAGAGGAAGCAGCAAAGGAGTGTGAGTTGCTATCAGAGAAGGAGGAGGCAAACCATAAAGTTAGTCTACATGTTCAGATTAGTTCCCCAGAAGTCCATAGATAAGGGCAAATAACTTTATCAATTATTCCAGACACCTCTAATTTTCTATCTGATAAAATATTTCATCTTTACCAAAATCGCCTACCTATAGGCACACTCTTGGAAGCTAGTATGTTGCCTACTTTAAATCTCACCTTTGCTCCAGTGTCTCCCACTCCACGTAAACCCATCGGCCCAGGGGGTCCTGGTAATCCTCGAGGTCCCTGAGATGACATAGTAAGGGAGCGAGTGAGCATCCGTGTTGTATACAACACTCAAAAGGAAGGGAGGAAGTGAAGAAAAAAATGTCCCACTTACAGGCACACCAGGATAGCCATCGCCTTTGAGTCCTGGAGCACCCACTGGTCCCTGAGGGCCTTGAACACCCTGGGTAAATTCCAACATCAGTGAAATCATGAGACTCAATGATAAAACACCTGGTTAATCTTAAGCATAACACCAACTCAATATGCCAATGGTAGATTTCTAACCCAGGACTTACAAAATGATTTATTGCTAATATTTTAATTTTTTAAATAATAAATTTTTAGTGCATTGTAAATCAAGGAGAAGTATAAAAAAGAAAATTTAGTAAGCACAATGTGAGATGAATAGAAAATAATACATAGCAAAATTTTGAGTATGGAATAACTAGAGTTTCCTATTGTTGTGTTAAATCTATTGTCTTCATTAATGGGGCCCGAATTATATGGGGAATAAGTAAAGCCAGATGAAAATAAAAACACATTAATTTTTCAAAAACAAGTTATGAAGGGATAGAGTTTGTGATTCATATCTTGAGACCTAGGAAAAAGTTGTAAATATTGTTTTACAGTGATGACCTTAAGTATCTAAAACTTTTAGTAGCAACCCTTAGTATCCTATAGAAAGAGCAGGAAGGGGTGATTACTGTCCTTTGGATGACAGACTTTATTAAGACTTATAACTCTCTCACAAACAGAAATCCAAAAAATTTCTGACAAAAGTAAAATGGGGGGAGAGAAAAAAATTAAGAAGAATCTTTTAGAAGATTACCTACAAGTCCATTAAACTTATATTTAAAACTTACAATACTTCATTTTACAACACATTCCGCTAATCTGTTATTGGTTGATAACTCTTGCAACAGCCCTTGTCAATATCAGCCCTGGTTTTGATAAAGAGCTGCTCATGTTTTAAAATATTTATGGTTTTTCTTTATATTGGTAGGAAACTTTAACAACAGGCAGACTTTTGTTTTCCAAGAATGGAGAAAGAAAGTAGCAGGACTCTTAAGAACTTTCCTTACATGCCAGCAAACTTGGAGATCAAACTGCCATTATTCCAAGTGAAAACACTGCCCAAAGTCCAACTCCCAAAACCTATTCTCAACTCTACTCCAATAAATGAATAATTGATTTGGAAATGGGAAAAAAATTTACATGCTCTTTAAGCACTCAGAAAGTTTATTTTAAAAACTATGAATGCAACAGCTGTTTTTTTCCTGTTAAACTGAAAGGCTGTTTTTATGTGGTTAACTTTCTTAAGAATGATCATCTTTAGGAAATATGTGGCCACTTACAAAAATTTAATGTGCTATTCATTATCAGCAAAAACTCAAGGTGGTGTTTTAAAGTTGAATGAGAGAAAGGAAGCCCATGGTCTTCAGGAAGGTAAATATTGGTGAATTCCAGCTACAAGAAACTGGTCACTTCTCAGAACCAATTGTTTATACTATTCCAACCACATTTAAGGTTAAAGCTCTAAACATTGACATATGAAACTTGTCCCAAAATAAGTTTTCCTCTTATCTCCACGTTTATACAAGGAGAGGGCCATCAATAAAATAAAGCAGTAACTGCTCCCTGGTTGAGTTAAAAGGAAAAGAACACTGGAATCAAAATTTATTTTTCAGTTTTTATTTCTATAGCCCAAACTTGCAACAAATTATCGGCAGCTGCTCTTGTTTAACATCTGACACCACAGTGGAGGGAAAAACCATTAAAACACTCACAGTTTATCAACATCCTTTTTCTAGAGATCTTTGTCCTCGCTTCTGCAAAAATTTCAGGTAGCTTTTTACTTCTGTTATTAATAAGAAATATCAAGGAGCAAGAGGAGGTGTGGTATTTATTTTGGATTCCTTACTGTATTTTTATAGATGGAATTTTGCCACTTGGCTTTTCTGCACTGGATTTAAGGAAATGTCCTACAAAGTGATTTACTTCAAAGTATTTCTCTCATTCAATAGAAATTAGGGCAAAAATAGAAACGTAGTATTTTGAAATCAGCTTTAGTGGCTGTCTGGGAGACCCCTGAAGTATTACACAAAATGAAATTAATGTGCTAAAACTTCCACCAGACATTCAAAGGTGTGTATGACTCTCCAAAAACTGAAAAACTAATGAACTAGGGAACAACGACAGAAAGAGTACCATTAGAGTCCAAGGGAGTAGCAAAATGCTTGGATGAGGAGGCAAATATCTTTAAATACCATCACCTATGATACCTAATAATCATCAGCGGGAAACAGGTGGGGCCTATAAACTCTGACAGCACATTTAATTGGGTTGTATTCCTACTGCAAATAGAAGTAGACAGAGAGAGATGTATAAATCATGAATTGTGACTTCACAGCTATCAATTTATTAAAATTGTCATGCAGAAGTAATTGATCAAGGTCATATCTGTAGTTTTCACACCAGAAAATTTGCTCTTGTTTCCTTGAGTTGTCTATATAGCTTGTGTTTCTAAAGAGACTGGTCTACATAGTTTGGGCTACCTTGGGATCTGGGGGAAGCAGATGAACAATTTGTCCAAGTTTGCCCAAGATTTTCCCAGTTTTAGCCCTCAAAGTCACGCGTTCCAGGAACCCCTTCAAGTCTGGGCAAACCAGGGCAGCTGTGACTCTAGCAGGGAGGACTGACTGTTAAAGCCAGAAGAACAGGGAGGCTCAAGATTCTCCCTTTACTTTTAATAAGAACCACTCCAATTTATGTCAGTTTTACATAACAGGTTTTGTATCATATTTTATTTAAAAGATGACTCCATGTTTTCTTCTTTTAACTTTGAAAGTCATCAATTTAGTACTTGAACCCTTTTATCTAGATGAGACAACTTAATATGGAAGCACATAAGCAAGCTTCAAAGCTATGTAACAACATGCTATTGATTTAAAAAGTGCTAATTATGGGGCCCTGAAGCCTGTCTTCATAAACAGATCTGCTGGTTGATACCCAGGAATGTTATAAATGCTAAATTTTGCTGTGATGCTGGGTATAGTGTGAGAAGGAAAATGGTGCTTCGTTGCCATGAAAAACCACATACGATTACAGAAACATAGTTTCTTCTTAATTATTTGTATTTCCCTTTGAAATAACTCCAAAGGATGAATAAATTAAAGCAAGAAATTTTTACTCAACAACGCTTCCAAGGAGAGATGATTCTTTGGACAATGTTTTGCAGAACGGATACTTTAGGCATTAACATGTAAATGAAGAAGCCAGAGGCCATTTAATTTCTTGTATCACAGACAGTGCAAAAGAGCATTTTCAAACAATTATCTAATAAGCAAAAATTTAACCATAAGAGCTATCTTTCCCACATGTATGAAAAATAACTATGTGACTGCTTATTTTTTAATAAAAGGGAATAGCTATATTCTTACATTTTAGTTCATCAATGTAGAGACTTTGCAAGTAGAAAAATCGACTTATGCATTAAATCTACCTTCGTTTATTTCAAATACAGAAAAACAAAAAGAACATGAATAAAGCATACCTTTGGTCCTCGAATAGAAAGTCCAGGTTCTCCTTTAAATCCAGGCATCCCAGGTCCTCCTCTATCTCCCTGTACATTTCAAATAACATTTCACAGGCTACAGTTGTGCAAGAAACCACATGACACATAGCAAAAAAAGAGTATTGGCCACTCTCTATAAAGAGCTTAATCTGTCCATCTCTGACCTTGAGATAGTATATTCTTCAAACATATTTGAGGGGAATTTCAAATCCTAAGTAAACAACACCTGTCAGTAAAGACTATTACTGCTGTTAGGAGAAAGTCCATTGAAATAATACGTGGCAATTCAGACTCAAATATTTAAACTTTAGGTAAGAATGGCCATTCCTAAAGTCTAAAAATTTGAGTCTGAATTGCCACGTATTATTTCAATGGACTTTCTCCTAACAGCAGTAATAGTCTTTACTGACAGGTGTCAGTGAAGACCAGGTGCAGTGGCTTACACCTATAATTCAAACATTTTGGGAGGCCAAGGCAGGTGGATCACTTGAATCCAGGAGTCTGAGACCAGCCTGGCCAACATAGCGAAATCCTGCCTCTACTAAAACTACAAAAATTATTCAGGTATGGTGGCACACCTGTAATCCCAGCTACTTGGGTGGCTGAGGCAGGAGAATCACTTGAGCTCAGAAGGTGGAGGTTGCAGTGAGCCAAGATCGCACCACTGCCCTCCAGCCTGGGGACAGAGTGAGACTCTGTCTCAAAAAACCAACCAACCAACAAACTTGAGTGGATATCTCTTCTGCTAGACTCTTCAATTACAAATCCCGGTGGATTCTTCTGAATAAATGTACTAAATTCTTACCTGCATTGGGGTTTAGGATTTGGAAAAGGTAAAGAAGGGTAAAGTGACAAGCTTGGGACTAGGAGCACAAAATCTGGTTTTAGTCCTAACTCTGCTGCTGGCTGCAGTTTGCTTATCTGTGAAGTTTCAGAGTTGAACTGAATCATTTCTAAGCATTTTCCAAAACTAAAATTCTAGTTCACTGATACCATGATTTTTTTTCTCCAACTGCCAAAGGGTCAAGAAAAAGAAAATAATTCCCAAAAATATATACCTTTGGCCCAGGTGGTCCAGGAATTGATGTTCCAGGCATTCCAAAGGGGCCCATAATGCCCGGTTCACCCTTAAAAACAGCAAAATGCTCAGTTCATTTCAAGCAGAGAAAGCACACATAGAGACAATATTAAGAAGAGTATAGAAATGTCTGCAGATTTTTAAATAATATTATGACCTCTACCTGCTTCAAAGACCAATGTGAAAATAATTTAAGCATCTTTTGTAAACCACTGCTAAAGTATTGACTAGTAAGATTTCGGTGCTTTTAAATAAATACGTTCAATTAATTATTGAAGGTTAAGAAAAGTTTAGCTCTTGTGTATCCTTTTATTAGCTAATAAAAATTATGCAATTCATGGTGCTTCCCTTTTGTGTTGTATGCTGGGAAGTTCAGAGAGAAATTTTTTTTTCAACATAACAATTATCTTTAGCAAATGTTTTAGAGTGTGCTTCTAGGTAATAACTCTTTTTTCTTTGTTGTTTTATTTTAATGGCCCAAGGCATAACAGTCTTCCATTCTCTGTTATCTCACATCCTTTTTGAGAAGTAGAACCCCTAGGGGCTGGGCGCAGTGGCTCACACCTGTAATCCCAGCACTTTGGGAGGCCAAGGCAGGCAGATCACTGAGGTCAGGAGTTTGAGGCCAGCATGGCCAACATGGCAAAACGCTGTCTCTACTAAAAATACAAAAAATTAGCCGGGCATGGTGGTGTGTGCCTGTAATCCTAGCTACTTAGGAGGCTGATGCAGGAGAATTGCTCAAAGCCAGGAAGCGGAGGTTGCGGTGAGCTGAGATCGCACCCCAGACCTCCAGCCTGAAAAAAAAAAAAAATTTTTCCAAAAAAAAAAAAAAAAAAAAAAAAACAAGAAGTTAGAAAGCCTATGATTTTTTAAAATGACATTTTTAATAGAAAATTTTAAACATTTGGTGGGAGAGGTATCTAATATTTAGTTAGAGTCTGAAAGACTAAATCTAGAGCAACAGGCAATTCTTCTGTTCCATCTGGATCTAGACCAGTGATTCTCAAATTTTAAAGAGCAGAGAAATTATCAGGAAAGTTTGGTAATGTGTAGTCCTGGGTTCAAACTCCAGAGATTCTGATTCGATAGATCTAGAGGCCAGGGCCCGGGATTATTAATTTTTATTAAGCACCCCTAGTGAAAAACACTATTCCAGAGCAATTGTCACTGCCTACCACAAGGCGTTCCAAATGACCCACTGGGCTATAAGAAGAAAATATTACAATTTATCTCTATATTTTTATCTCATTTATTAACATTTTAATTATTTATATAAATTCATATTAGTATTATAGTTTATTAATAAAAATTACAATTAAAAAATTAAAAATCTGTGGAGTGTGATCAAAATTTTACTGGAAGGATTTATAATCAAAATAGTTTGGAAACTACTTCTCTAGAGTAGGCAGGCCAAATCCAGCCCATCCCTGGTTTTATATAGCCGTGAGCTATGAATAGTTTTCACATTTTCAAGTGGTCATTATACAAGTAACTACATAATATATTCAATTTTGCCTCTTGGGCCACAGAACCTAAAATATTTACTATCTGGACCTTTACCCAAAAGAACCCACAAAAACCCACTGTGGAGATGAGTTGAGGAAAATGAGCTATTTCTATGCTATGTCTAAACCTGATCCTCTAGGTTCTCAGACTGCTGACTAATCTTGCCTCTGCCTGACTCATGTCCTTTGAAAATTCAATCACGTGAGCCTCCTATTCAGTTATGCTGCTTCCTCCAGCAGGGACTCATCAGTTATATTCAGCAGTGATGACCCCTGCCCAAGGCCATAATCATCTGCAGAGCTGAGGCCTCCCACTATATTGATTAGCCAATACAACAAACAGGCCAGGCACACTGGTCGACTGGGACCCAATTCATGCCATGGCATGTATCTGCCTGTCCTTAAATCCAAACCTGGAAGGCCAATGGCACAGGACAAAGGAAGAATTGGGAAACACAATAAACCCCCATCCAAGCTTTGACAAAGGAACAGTACATGAACCCGTTAAAATTCTTCACTAAAACCAAAGGAAAAGCAAAATTATGTCTCTAGATTTAATTTGTTCTACTTTTTTTTTAAAAAAGAGATCAATTACTTTTAAAATATGAAAAGTATCATGGAAAGTATACAATTATCTTAAAGACCCTGTATTAAGGGATGATTATGCTTTAACATATGGCAATTCTTCACTTCATCTTTAAAAACAGTTTTATTTCAAAACACAGAAAACTGTTCACTTTGAAATAGAGTAGGACATAAAGAGTAATCTGTTATTAATACTAATACAACATATTTGTTGCATAGTGGCACTTCTCATAATGTGCTTCTTGAGCTCCCTGGAGCACAGGGCATTTACTCATGAGAAGTACAGATTCCTGGGCCCACTCACCTACTGAATCCAGATAGCTGAGGATGGTAACAAGAAATCTGGATTTGTAATAATCCCCAGGTGATACCGATGGGCAACGAATAAGTTTAAGAGTCACTGGTGTACAGATGATGTTTTATTTTGTACCTGATCTTACCTTGTCAGCACCATTTTTTTAAATTTGCAATCCCATTACTGGGTATATACCCAAAGGATTATAAATTAGTCTATTATAAAGACACATGCAGAAATATCTTCATTGCGGTACTTTTTACAATAGCAAAGACTTGGAACCAACCCAAATGTCCATCAATGATAGAGTGGATAAAGAAAATACGGCAAATATACACCATGGAATAATATGCAGCCATAAAAAAGGATGAGTTCATGTCCTTGCAGGGACATGGATGAAGCTGGAAACCATCATTTTCAGCAAACTGACACAAGAATAGAAAACCAAACACCGCATGTTCTCACTCATAAGTGGGTGTTGAACAATGAGAACACATGAACACAGGGAGGGGAACAACAAACACTGGTGCCCGGTGGGGGGGTGGGGGCGGTTGGGGAGGGATATCAGGAGGTAGGGGGATGGGAGGGATAACATTAGGATAAATACTTAATGGTGATGGCTGGGGGATGGATGCAGCAAACAACCATGGCATGTGTATACCGATGTAACAATCCTGCACAATCTGCACATGTACCCCAGAACTTAAAGTACAATAAAAAAAATTCTGCTTTTTAACCATCTGGTTCTAAAATACACTCCTTGTCTCTTTCTTACAATTAGTATCTTCCTAGAGACATGAACTCTCTTAGTTTTGCAGTTTCTCTTTCCTGACACATTCAAATGACTTTAATGGTGGGTCTCTGAGGTCAAGTCAGGACACCTGCTTAATTGCTAGCCTCACAATATCCTTCACTTCTTCCTCTGCATCCTGTTATGGACAATTTACCAGGACATAGATCCTGTACTTTCCATTTCACTATATTGATTTTTTTCTCCGAATAATTCGATGTATTGAACACTTACTATATACCAGGAAATGTGCTAAGTGCTTTATTAACTCTTTTAGTCTTCACAACAACCCTGTGAAATAGAGCATATCATTATTCTCTTTCTGTAATTGAAGTGACTGGCTCCAAAAGGTTCATGGCACAGAAGAATGCAATAAGCCTTCCGAAGAAGAGCCTTCATCATCACTGTGTTGCCTCTCAGTCTCAGGCTTTTGGGTTGTTTAGCAAAGTGAGATTATGAAGAACTGACTATCTCCTGTAGTCCCAATTTTATCCCAACTTCTGAATATTCACTTGTTACTAGAGAGGATTGACAGACAAATTAGAAACATAAATATTTCTATGAGTATTACATATGTTATGCAATCTATTCCATTCTATTATGGTCTGGGAATAGCATGTTTTCTATAGTTTTATTTTTTTTTTGAGTTTTTGTTATGTATTTGTTAGAAAAGAAACAAGGAATCAAATTTTCGGTGGAAATCTAATACTCTATTAAAACCAGACGCAAATACAAACTCCTCAAAGCATAAGTCAGAATACAAGAAACATACCTTTGGTCCTTCGGGCCCTGGAAGTCCCCTCTGTCCTTGATTTCCTTTGCTCCCTTTCTTGCCTTCATCACCCTAACAAAATAATTATGAAAATACAGATATTGTATTATCAACCTCCCCTAACCTAGTAAGGACTATAGCAGAGCCAGATTCTCAACTAATACCAATTTAAAATGGTGTTCCCTAAGCACAGCTCTGTTGTGCAGGATTTGTCAATGTTCTTGAGGAGATCACATGACTTCAGATTGTTCATCCTTTACTATTTATTCAATATGATTTGGTATTTTTAAAAATGTAAGTTCTATATCTTTCTTTTGGAACTTTTATTTGAATTTATAGTTCCTTTGCACCCTTGGTCTATTAACAGATGGCTCTGAAATATTCACAGTTTCAGAAATGAGAACTATCTATGCTTTTTCATGCTGTTTTTCCATTTTTCTATTTTAGGTTTACAACATGAAATGAGACATTTTAAAAATCACAGCCCTATTTCTTCCTCACTGGGGAGTCTAATTCTTTCCCCAAAAAGAGACCAATAGTTTTATTGGCAGGAAGATGCTGAGCATTAACCTGGAACAGAGCTAGAAACTGCCTACTGGCTGTTCCCCAGCATGGTTATGTAAAACAGTACTCCCCCAAAAGAATTCCTTTACCTTCAAAACTATCTTTCAAGTAGGGTTCAACTTCAATGCACCATATCCAGGGATGTAGCTCAACAAATGAAAATTCCATGGTCTGCAGCTGAGGCTATTTAAATATTTGTGATATAAGTGACTATACCATGGTTTTTAAAGCTGAGCAACAGAATCACCCGGAGGGCTTGTTAGAACACAGATTGCTGGGCCCTCCACCCAGAGTTTCTGATTTAGTAGGTCTGCACTGAGGTCCAAGCATTTGCATTTTTTTTTTTTTTTTTTTGAGACGGAGTTTCTCTCGTTACCCAGGCTGGAGTGCAATCGTGACCTCGGCTCACCGCAACCTCTGCCTCCTGGGTTCAGGCAATTCTCCTGCCTCAGCCTCCTGAGTAGCTGGGATTACAGGCACGTGCCACCATGCCCAGCTAATTTTTTGTATTTTTAGTAGAGACGGGGTTTCACCATGTTGACCAGGATGGTCTCGATCTCTTGACCTCGTGATCCACCCACCTCGGCCTCCCAAAGTGCTAGGATTACAGGCGTGAGTCACCGTGCCCGGCTAAGCATTTGCATATTTAACATTCCCAGATGATGCTGATGCTGCTGGTTCAGGGACCACATTTGAGAATCACTGGACTATATACTAAGGTCATCAGCAAAGCAGGCATTTCACTAAGAGATGACCTCCTGTAGAATCCACAGAGGTTTCCATGGTCCACACTAATGGACAGCGAGACACAGGTGTAAAAAACAACAACAACAACAAAAGCAGTTGAATATCCAAATATCTTATTTTCACTTACCAGTAGAGACAAAACTCAACCACAACTATTTATTTTCTTCCCTCCACTATCACTAATTTAGGTTATTGACATAAATCACCCCAGAAATCAACAGCAGGAACCCAATTAAATGTAATAAATCACCAGCACATGTTCCTACCACTTTTCTCCAACAGCCTTCCATAAGCCACAAGTCACCTTAAGCCACAAATCCAGTAGCCTCTCTTTCCAATGCACATTCTCCTTACTTTATTGATGGCATCTGATACCACCCATTGCTTTCATCTTGAAATCCTTTCTCCTTGGCATCCCTAACATGCTACCATTCTGCTTATTCTGTTGAGTGCTCATTCTCCAGCTACCACACAATGTGGGACTTAAACCTCAACTCTCTTCCTGAGAGACATCGTTTATTCTCATAGCTTCAAATATTGACTACGAGTGCCTAGTTTCCAAAAGCACATCCTAAAAATATTAGTTCTCCTGAATGTTAGCAGACTGGCATTTCTAAAAGTGTATTTTGCATGATGATGTTATCCCCTCCACCTCACCCAAAAAGGGTCCCATTGTCTGGTAAATCAATATGTAAAAATGTTTAAAAGTCTACAAATATATTTAAATTTCATATCTTCATATTTAGGATTAAGGATTCAATTTTAGTGAGTATCTTCACAAGACATCAATTACTTATTTTAGTAGAATTATGAATAGAACACTAGTAAGAATACAAATTTTACATTTACTTGTATATAATCCATAAAAATCTTTACATGGGAATCGATAACTGCACATAAAAATTGTAGGATGATCTGGAATCTTAGAGGCTGTAGGTTATGTTACTAGTGGTGTTATCCTGATGAATTTGTATAGTCTCATCTTAACGTACAAAGATGTTATTCAACTAGCATTTCTACAGAGTTTAAAATAAATTTATGCCAAGTCATGAAGTGAAATGTCCATTTAACAAGGTGATATTTCTTATTATTGTGTGAGATTTTATAAAGAAAATTTATGGACTGTCAAATCTCAGCGACATATCTCAAGGCTTCTTTTCTTTCCTATGTGTTTTTTAAATGTCGACCTGAACATTTATTGAGAAAACATGTGTTAAGCTCTTCTATATGCCGGGGCTTACGATAGATGTTAGGAAAATAAAAATGAATTATACATGCTTGCTGTCTTCCAAAAGCTTCCAAGATAGTATTCATACTTCTAAGCCAGACATAAACACATTTGACATAGCAAGAATAACAATCAAATTTCTCCTAAGTTGGCTCCTCAGTATGAGGACCAGAACACAGACAGGCTGCTTCCTCCAACACTGTCATTTCCATACCTTGGGGCCGGGCTGCCCTTTTCCAGGTGGTCCTTCTGGGCCTCTTGCTCCCGGAAGCCCCGCTTCTCCCTAGAGGAAATGACACTGATGTTTCAGCTGACCCTCCAGCAAACAGACAATATGTATCATCCCACCTTGTCTCCTTTTATCACCAGTGGATTCAGCTGAAACTCTCCAAAACACACCACACCTTCACTCTAGCCTCAAAATCAATTTGGAAGTTTATAAACTTAAAAAAGTAACATCAAACTCCAGTTTAACTCAGAGCAGCTGGAGTATCATGAAAAAGTTTAATTTCTCAGCCAATTTCCAAAGCAATAAGCTCATTTTCCTTTGGCTCTTCATTCACATTTGGTAGATTTTTTTTAAAAACAGGGAAGACCTTCAGCCTTTCCATCTGCTGTTTTTTGCTACTTTTATTGAAAAATGAGTATTTCAAATGTCAACTCAAAATATTTCAGGAAATCTTTACAATGGCCTTATTTCCTGAATGCATTTACAGACTTTCCTCTTGGGGGGTGGGGGTGGGGTGGAGGGAGCGGTTTTCTCTTAAGTTTAAATTAATGTGCTTTCTAGATATCCTGAAGAAACTAGGCCATAACCAAAACACCAGAGAGAAGGCAGAAGATGTGAGACTATCTCAGCCTTTCAATAGTCTACTTCTTCTATCAGGGATAAGTGAAAAGGGACATTTGGGATTGTGAGATTTTTTTTTCTTAAAGAGACTACGTTTGTCCTGGATGGTTTGATTCGAGCTCCCACAGGATCAAGATACCAGCTTGCTTCAATAGTTCTTACTCCAATAATATGAAAAATTTGGTGTTACCTTCTTCCCTGCAGCTCCATCTTCTCCCGGTACTCCTGGCTGTCCTGGGAGCCCTATTGAGCCTGGCTCCCCCTGGTGGATGAACAAATATTTTATTTCCCAAAAGTTCATGCATCTATTCTGAGGTACTTGGAATTGGATGTACCTTATAGCGTTTGAGAAAAACCTCCGAGAAATCTGATTAGTAATTAATGCTAAACTATTTGATCTTGAGAAGTTACTTAACATCTCTAGGCCTTAGTTTTTGATTCTATTATTATGGGCTGAATTGTGCCCCCCCCCCCCAAAAAAAAAAAGATATGTTGACATCCTAACTCTTTGTACCTATGAATGTAACTTTAATTGGAAACAGGGTCTTTGCAGATTTAATCAAGTTAAGATGAAGTCATTACAGAGGGCCCTAATTCAGTATAACAGGTTTGGCTCTGTGTTCCCACCCAAATCTCATTCAAATTGTAATTCCCTGTGACGAAGGAGGGACCTGGTAAGAGGTGGTTGAGTTATAGGGGTGGACCTCCCCCTTGCTGTTCTCATGATAGAGTTCTCATGACATCTGGTTGTTTGAAAATGTGTAGCATGCCTGCCTTCAATCTCTTTCCCTCTTTTACTCTGCCATGTAAACATGTGCCTGCTTCCCCTTCGCCTTCTGCCAGGATTGTAAGTTTCCAGAGGCCTCCCCAGAAGCCAAGCAGATGCCAGCATCATGCTTCCTGCACAGCCTGCAGAACTGTGAGTCAATTAAACCTTTTTTCTTTATAAATTACCCAGTCTGAGGTAGTTCTTTAAAGCAATGCAAGAACAGACTAATACAATGGGTACTATAAGCAGAGAAAAATGCCACTTGGAGGCAGACACATAGAGCACCATGTGACAGGAGAGGCAAAGACTGGAGAAAGCAGCTGCTAGGCAAGGCATGCCAAGGATTGACAGACATGCCCAGAAGCTAAGATGAGACCAGGAAACATTCTCTCTTACAGGTATTGGAGGAAACATAGCCCTGCAGACGGATTTTGAACTTTGTCTGAAACAATACATTTCTGTTGTGTCAGTTTCTAAATTTCTGTTGTCTCAGCCACTCAGTTTCTAGTACTTTCTTACATCAGTTCTAGAAAACTAATATAAGAGTGAAATAACAAATTTGTGTCCTAACACCACTTCCAGCTCTAATATTCAGTAATTCTACTTGCTTTCAAGTTAATTTATGATTAGTAATAAATCCTTTAAGATGTTCAGGAAAAAAAATCCTACTTTCAAACAGTTTAAAGCATCTTTATGGCATTTATTAATAGCAACAAAATGGAAAATAATTGAAAGTAACTTCAACTAACCTAAGCAAGCCAGTGAAAAAAAGCACAGTAAATCTAACAATAAGTAGAAGAAAAGATAAAGATGAAAGAAGAAAATAATAAACTTGAAAACAAAAAGTAAGAATATTCATAAAATTAAAAGGTAATGCCTGTTTAAAAGCTAATAAAAGTAAATAAATTTCTAATAGAAATGATTAGGGATTTTTAAAGACACCAATAAATATTAAAATGGAAGATATAACTATATACATATAGTAAAAATTTTTTAAGTCATAGAAAATTGGTGATAATTTTAAAAAATGTATTGGAAAACAACAATAATCTTTGAGAAAAATATGAATTATATAATGCCGTAAAAAGAAATGAACAAGCTGGATAAACCAATACTATTAAATAAATTGAGTCAGTGATTAAAAGTCTCTACTTCCTCTCCCTCCAAGATCACAAGCTTAGTTTGTTTTACAGTCAAGACTTACCAAACGTTTAAACTTTTAAAGTACAGTTATTTCCTATCTTATACAAACAGTTCTAAAAAGCTTGAAAAACAGAGTAGTCTATCTAATTTATTTTATAAGGCTTATAAAGCCTTTTTAGAAAAATTATACAATGGCAAGACAAGAAAACAAAACCATAGACCAGTCTACCTATGAAATATAGCACAATTTAAGCTTCTAATCAAATGCTATAATTTCCCCCAGTGCCTACATAAAGCTTCCAGGTCATAGCACAGGGATTGAGAAACCTGGGAAAGCATCTCTCCGAGAAGACAAACATATGTGTCTGGGTAAGTCGAGGTATCAAAAGTTCACAAGGCAGATAACCAGAGAAAGTTACACAGATAAAACCATAAGTATCTTCTGAGCATCCAACTTGGTTATTCAGTTGAGTACTGCTGAGCACATGTGTATGAAGAAACTACCCAAGGCCAGGGAAACAACCAACTTAAAGGATTAGAGAAGTGACAGGGAACCAGGAATAGTGCCTATTTCTACTGGCAAGAAATAAAACCTCACAATTCTGAGGGCATAGATTGGAGTTCTAAAAAGGGTCTTGCCTCAACAGTAGGGAAAAATTAATCCTAGACTAAATGCTGCTGTAGTCTTACTTAACAAAACTTAAAAGCAAGACCAAAATGGGTCAATCTGTTTTCAAGTAACTAAAAAACATTCAAGAAGAAAGCTCAAAATACAGAAATGCAAAAATATCCAACATGCAAAATGGCAAAATTCACAATGTTGGGCATTCAATAAAAAGGTATTCAGCTGGGTGTGGTGGCACATGCCTGTAATCCCAACTACTCAGGAGACCAAGGTAGGAAGATGGCTTAAGCCCAGGAGTTCAAAGCCAACCTGGTCAACACCTTTTAAAATATTAATATTAATAATAATATTTAATTTAAAAATAAAAAATAGGCATTAAAAAGGCTGAAAAATATAGTACTTTGTGTTGAGAAAAATCAATCGATTGAAACTTACCCAGAAATAACATCAGTAGTAGAATTAGTAGGTAAGAATATTAAAACAGTTATTATGACCATATTCCAAACAGTCAAGAAACCAGAGGAAATCTGAAGCATGTTAAATACAGACAAGAGAGACATAAGAAGGATACAAATTAAACTTTTAGATTTAAAAATTATGATGTATGAGATAAAAAACACTGGATAGCATTAAAAGCTGATTAGTGTCATGGAAGAAAAGATTAGTGAACTAAAACATATAGCAATAAGAGCTATCCTAAATTAAACACAGAGAGAAAAGAGACTGAAAAAAATGAGCAGAGCATCGGTGAACTATGAAATAACTTGAAACATCCAAATATCCTGGCCAACATTTCTAAAACCCATCTCTACTAAAAAATACAAAAATTAGCCAGATGTGTTGGTGCATGCCTGTAATCCCAGCTACATGGGAGGCTGAGGCACTAGGATCACCTGAACCCAGGAGGCAGAGGTTTCAGTGATCCAAGATGGTGTCACTGCAATCCAGTCTGGGTGAAAGTGAGACTCTGTCTCGAAACAAAAATAAAATCCAAATTTAAGTAAAATTGGAGGTCCTGGGGTAAGGAAGTGCTATTTCAAGAAATACTGGCCAAATATTTTCTAAATTTGATGAAAACTATAACCCATAGATCTAAGAATATCAGTGAACCAAGAATATCAATGAACCTCAAGCACAAGACATATATCTAAGGCACATTATAATCACACTGCTCAAAACCAGTGAGGTAGAGAAAATCTCAAAAGCAGCCAAAGGTTAAAAAGGCATGTTATGTAGAGAAACAAATATAAGGATAACAACAGATTTCTCATCAGAAGTAATGCAAGCGAGAAGACAATAGAACAACATCTTAAAAGTATTAAAAGGAAGAAAAAGCAACAGCACATTATAATTCTATAACCAGAAAAAATAATAAGGAAATTTTTTTGGAAGTTGATTTGCAATTTCTTGGAACGCTAAATGAATACCTACCTTCTGACCTAGCCATTTCACTTTCCAAGAAAAATAAGAACAAATATCCATACAAGCACATATATAAATGTTCTTAACAGCTTTATTTATAATATTGAAAATCTGGAAACAAGCAAAATTTTTATCAACAGGTGAATGGATAAACAAATTGTGGTATATCCATATAATACAGTACTGTTCAGCAATATGAAGGAATGAGCTGTTCATATATATGTTAAAACATAGATCTTAGAATGATTTTGCTGAGTTAAAAGAAGCCAGAAAAATATCATATAGTGTATATTTCCATAAAAATCTAGAAAATGCAAACTAGTCTATAATGACAAAAAACAGATCAACGGTTAGCAGATAATTGGAAAGCAGATCTGTGGGAAACATATTAGTGAACATAGAAGAAGTTATGGAGGGATACGACAGATGGCAACTTCTGAGGGTTACAGAAAAATTTATTATCTTGATTGCAGTGACGATTCAAAGAGCATATATATATGTATTTCAAAACATCAAATTGTATACTTTAAACGTGTATTTACTATATGCCAATCAGATAATACATAGTTATTAAAATAAATGCGAAAATCCTAAATAAAAGTTTAGTCAGTTGAATGATTACCATAAAAAAGTATACATAATAAATTGAGTTTATCTCAAGAATGCAAGGATGGTTTGACATCTGAAAACTGTGAATATAATGTGTCATATTAAGCTAAAAGTGGAAAACAATACAATTATCTTAGTAGATGTATAATTTGATAAAATCCAGTAATCATTTATATTTAACAAGTAACATTTGGTACAACCAAAAAAGAAGGGAACTTCCTTAACCTAATAGAGAGTATCTATCAAAAACTTTCAGCAAATGTCACACTTAAGAGTAAAATTTTAGAAGCACTTCTTTTGAAGTCACTTCTTTTAAACATTGTACAAGTGATCCTAGCAGTACAAAATGATAAAAGTAAGTAATAAAAGAAGAGCTAAAAATGAATAGGTAAAACTTTATTTTCAGACAATATGATTGTGTACATAGGGACTGAAAAAGTAAGAGACTCCACAAATAATTAGAGATGTCACAGGGTGGCTGGATACAAAATCAACATGCCAAAACAAAATGAAAAGCTTCTCCTATAGGCCTAGACTAGTTAATTAAAAGATGTAGAAAGGGAGGCTGAGGCACAAGAATCGCTTGAACCATGAAGGTGGAGATTGCAGTGAGCCAAGGTCACACCACTGCACTCTAGCCTGGGCAACAGGAGTGAAACTCTGTCTCAAAAAAAAAAAAAAGATGTAGAAAAAGGACAATTCACAATTACAAACATTTCTACAAGGTACTTGGAAATAAATTTAACCAAAGTACAAGAACTTTATGGAGAAAATTACAAATATTTTTCTGAAAAATTAGAGCTTTAGTCTGTGGTATGAAAGACTTGCTATTTAATCTGTAGATTCAGTGCAAACCAAATAGGGTATCTTGTTAAATTTGACAAGTCAGCCCTAAAATATGTATCTCAGAGTCAATAGTAACTAAGAAATAAAATGAGAATATTTTTCCTTTTAGATGACAAAACATATTATAAATCTATTATAATCAAGACAAAGTAATAGCACCAAGAGATATACAATATACTTATTGTATATTGCCTCTCTGCAATTGACAGATATATAACATGTGTTTGCATACATATTTACACAGAGGCATATTTACATATATGTATAAACATATATGTCAAAGTTGGCACTTAGTATACTGTGTAGTACATGGAAACCATGTAAAAATGGCAGCTATTATTACTATATTCATATATTTCTATTTTTTGTAATGCTGTGCTTATATATGTAACATGTATATTCTTCTTAGAACTACATCTAACATGTTCTTCTAATACTCAAATGCTCATAAGAATAAGACAATGACAACAGAACAATGGTGAAGCTGAGTGCTCAACATGGCTCTCTGGATCCTATATAACTTAAGGATGAGTTATAGAAAGTGTGAAGGGTAAACTATGTATTCGTTCATTATTCAGCAGTATTTATTCAGACTCTATCATGTCCCCAAAGCTGGGGATTTTATAATAAACCAAGATAAACAAAGTGCCACCCTGGTAGAGTATAGATTTTAGAGCAGCACTGTCCAAGAGGAATATAAAGCAAGCCATACATGTAATTATAGCTTTTGCAGTAGCCACACTTAAAAAGTGAAATGAACTCGTTATATAGAGTTAGATAGCACATGCAGGGTCTGTACTGCAATCGGATATAAAAAAAAAACCTTACATAATATTACATAAAGTAACATATCACTTCTTAGCAGCAGTCAACTCACCTTTGGACCTTGTACTCCAATTCCCACTGGTCCTCGAGGGCCTGTAGGTCCCATTTGGCCTACTTCTCCCTAGTAAGAAAACAGAATATTTTAATACAGCAGCAAAGTGAAAATAATATATTCCGGCTATTGATCTCCTAAAATCTGTCTTATACCAACAATGTAAAATAGTTTCAATGTGCTCAATTCATATATATTGCCTGAAATTCCTTCAGATGGATGGATTTTAACCAAATTTAGAATGAAAAATATACATATTTGATGTATGTATCATCTGACTTAAAATATAGGCCACATAGCATATTCAAAATTGATTTTAAGGAGCCCCTTGTGGAGGGCATCTGGAAAAGATAGGCAGCTGCATCCTAGAACAACTAAAATTGGCACCGGAAAAGCCAAGGTAACTGCTGATCAAGAGCAATGTCATAACCAGAAAACACAATTTGAGCTTTCAAGGGCAAGTCGCAAATCAAAACTCTCAAGGACAGTCAGAGTGGTCCACTGAGCAGCTTCTCACACGAACAGCTCTAAGGAGTATGTTCTAAGGTGAGTAGTTTCAGAGAAGTATTTTATTTATTTAACAATGATTCATGATTCTTGGAAGCAATATTAAGGATAACGAGTTAAACAAGTGCCATGCCCCTCCTCAAAGAAAAAATAATAGTTCCAATTTATGACATAGCTTGATTCCCAAGTACATAGAACTTTTTTATTTGTTAGGTCATTTCTAACCCCATCTCTTTAGCTAAGGCTTTAGTAGTTGGACCTACTGTCAGAGTGGTGGTGAGAATGAAAATTAGCCAACTTAGAGAGATACATAACCAGTGGTTACCTCTATCGATATTACTGCTTGAATTACTAGAATAGGATCACATAAGTAAAAGTAACAAAGAAAACAATAAATGAAAATTGTGTAAGTAAAACTTTCTTAAAGCATAAAGAATACATAGTATATTTTCTAAATTGTCAGGAATATCAATAACATTTTGCATTAAGTAGAGATCTCTGATTTTTAAATTCATTCTATCTGCTGTATTCCAAATGCACTGACACTGATCAGAAAACAGCAATTATACTATAGATAATATTCAATTCTGCCCTCATTTACAAAGTTACCTTAGAACCAGGTAAGCCTTGTCCTGGGGGTCCTTGTGGACCAGGTGGACCAATAGGACCTTGGATTCCCTTTAAAATAAAATTTTTAAAAAAAGAGTATTAGTGAAATTAAGACATTTGGATAAGAGTAGTTTCAAATCCTCTAAAGTGAAACTTTAGTTCAAACCCCATAATAAGTTACTTATACTCAATAAACATTTGTAGAGTGGGGTGGCAGACGCTGCTAATTAAACCATAATTTGCATTCTTCCCTACTTCCACATTAAGAGAAATTTTAGCTGGCCCATGTGGCTAACCTAGAATAAAGATCACATTTCTCAGTCCCTGTTGCAGCCAGGTGTGGCTATGCGGGCTAGATTCTAGCCAATGGGATGTGAATTGAGTGATGTGTGTAATTCCTGATTCATGTAAAAAGAAGAGGTATGCCTTCTTCCCTTTTCCTCTTCTTCAGTAGCTAGAATTAACAGACAGTGGCCTCCAGGATCATGCAGATGAGGAAAGCACTCTCAGTATGGCAGACTAACAAGACTGATTAATAGAGCCACTCTACCAGCTTGGAGTTTTAAGTAAGGAAAATAAAATTACACCTAGTTAACCCATTTCATATCTCTGTCCATGCAGACAAACCTATATCTCAGTTGTTCCAATGAATATGTGTCGGGACGGTAAATTGAAGGTTTGACCTAGCCTCTAAGAAGCAATAGTCAGCAGATACCAAACTGAAGAATGTTCAAACACTTGACTTCTCCTTCACACTATAAAGGAGGTTTTTATACATGAGTATAAAAAGGATGTGCATATATGTATGCATACATATGTATATGTGGCTGTTTATATTTCACTCTATTTTGTAAAAGATCTGAGTTGGTCAAGCCTCCAAATATTTAACAAAACTCTGTGGGCCATTTAAGAGATATTGTAAACATGTTGCTAGAAACAGCAGTTCCCTCATAAACACATGAGGGAGAAAATTCATTTTTATAAGAGAAATAGGAAGATCTAATATAACAAGAATTCAACGGATAAACACATAAAATTAAAGAACATTGAATAACTGCATAAACAGAGGTGAAATTTAAGTAGAATTTATATCATTTGTTTTAAAAGGTAAATAAATTCTTTTCTTACTCAGATCATTTTACAAATAGAGATCTCATTTCCAATAGAGATCAGCTCTATAAGGACACATCTACCTTGAATTTTTTTTTTCTTTTCAGAAAGAAGAAAAGAGGGTGAGAAAATGAAAGAAGTCCAAGAGTTTTTTTTTTTTTTTTTTTTTTCAAGCTGAAGAACAACAACCTCCACTAAGAAACAGCAGCATTAAAGGCAACAGGAAGCTGTAGGTGGGAGGTCCAGAATTCATAGGCCATCTGGACAAACTTGTCTTTGAACCTCATGCTTAGCCCCATGGTGGTCACTCAGCACCAGGAGAACCGCAAGACCCAAGATGTGACAGCACTGTCCAGCTGCTTTTGCAATCAGTAAGCTACAAGGCTTGAGAATGTCTGGTGGTATGATCGAATCATAACACCTGAGTTGCCCAACTATCCAGCTCTTAATTATTATCTAAATATTTATTTATACATTTATCTTGGCTTCTTCTGTACCTTAAGTTTCCTAATGTGTTAGACTAGGACCTCTGCCAAGGGCAAGGGAATGGAAAAAGGAGTCATATCCAACTTTGCTGATGATTGGACTAACAAAAAAATTAATAATAATAATAAATTAGCAGGTAATTAGAAATAAACCCAAAGTTAATCTCAACAATGGCACTTGGAATTATCTCATTTTAAAAATTCTTCCCTTCTTCCACTATCCTAAAGAAAGCAGTATTCGTTCTCTAGGCAATAGAATAATTCAAACCTTAATCATAAATCTTAATCAAACCTGACTTGCCACTTTCTAACCAGAAGATATTTAGCATAAATCTGGATTTATTGGTCACTTTGATTAAATGAGACTGTATAAGTATATGGTAAACAACAAAGTATATGATAAACAAAAAAAATACATGGTAAACAACAGTAGTGACTACTGTTATACCATCTTCACATTATTTAGATTTATCTCAATTATGCAGAATTTTCCAAAAGTTATCAGAAGATTTTAGAAGTGGCTCTCATCATGAATGTAGACATTCTTACGGATCTTTTTTTTCTTCTTACCAAGAGGGGTCATTTATAAAATCTATGGTTTGCTTCTATTCCAGAAGGGTGCCCCTTAAACTAAGTGGTTACTTCTGATCCTGCTCCAAGTTTTAACTATAACCGTTTTTTAAAAATTGGTATGTGGCTAGTTGGAGTACTTGGTAGGGGGATACTACTCTACTCCATTGGTAGAGAATGGGATTTAATTTTCACAAAACTTCAAGGAGAAAAAAATACACAAACCAGCAGGTAAATAAACTATTGTTTCCAAGCAGAACTAAAAATATTGCCCCCAAACATTTACCTTGTTAATTAGGTTTTAACGTAAAAAGTCACAGCATCAAGAAACACATTACTTATTTTTTAAGCCTTTAGAAGTTCTAAAAAATAAAATGTCATGAAACCATCGTATCCATCCCTATATTCAATTCTGGACTTATACTCCATTGCAATTTACTGTGAAATATACATAGATGTTTGCATAGATGTTTGCAGGACTGGCCTTCAATGAATATCAAGATTGGGCTGGAATGTTTCGCACTGAAGGGAAAGGAGGAGTACATTAATTACCTGTTCCCCTTGACTCCCAATTCCAGGGATGCCCATTGGTCCTTGGGGTCCCATAGGTCCCAAATCCCCCTGTATAGAAAATAAACCAGGAAATATAACAATAAAATAAAATCTTATTTTTTTCATACTTTGCTAACCCAGAATTAGGCTATGTACCATAAAAAAAAGCTCAACATGGAAAATTATAAAACTTTATTTTATTCCTTTTAAAGAGTATGTAGTTCAAAGTCACCAAAATAGTAAATGACATTTTTGCTATTCAGTTTAAGTTGGTGGGCATTTAACAATCATTTTTCTCAAAAAAAATTCCTGAATAGTTGTTATCATGACACAAACACTTCCTGCTAGGATTATAACAAAAATATTTTGGAAAATTCATAGGATATAAGAAAAATAAAATTTAAGCGACAAATTGAAGAAAAATATTTTAAAATTTTCTAAATATTCTTTCCCTCCCAATCTTATTTAAAATGCATTTTGAAAATTAAGAAATGATCTCACATGAATGCAGCAAAATTAAAGAGCCCTATTTTCTTCTTCCATGAAATTGAGATAAGAAAATTAAAGTTACCAGCAAGAAGAACATCATTCATTCTTTCTGTGTCTTTATACAGATGTTTGTTGAGTGCCCAATAATTAGTATGTGAAGGTGAAAAATTAATCAGGGAAGAGAGAAGGCAGCAATGATTTTGTGGTTAGGATGTCCAGAGATGACGTCACTGATGAGAGGGAATGAGGCAGGTAGAAACCCAGAAGGAAAGCATTCCAGGCAGAGAAACAGTCAGTGCAAAGCTGATGCCCAGCATGTTCCAGAAACAGCAAGGAGACAGTGCGGTTGGAACTGTCTCCAATTGGGAGAGCAGTAGACTATGAAGTTGGAGAATTATGGCAGTGGGGTCAGGTATAAGGATCAGTGGAGCCTTTGAGGCCATTGTAATGACTTGGCTGTTTTCTGAGTGAGATAGGAAGCCACTAGAGGGCTTTGAGAAGGGAAGTAAAAGATCCGACTTGGTTTTTAAGGCCCCATCTGGAAGCTGTATGGAGAACAGACTGAAGGGAGATCTACATGAGAGATGATGGGGCACAAACCAGAGTGTTGAGAGCAGAGGTGGTAGGGGGCACTCAAAACCTGGATAATGTTGAAGGTAGAGTGATGGGATTTGCTGAGGATTGAGAGGACTCCAGGAAGTCTCCAAGGCTCTTGGCAGAATAGAGTTGTCATTGACCAAGAAGAAGAAGCCTGAGAGAAAAACAACATTTGGGGTAAAGGGTGATATCAGGAGCTCAGTTTTGGACATGTTTAGTTTGAGATACCTAAAATGAACATCCAAATGGAGATATCAAGTAGGTGGGAGAGGCCTGGGATGAGAATATAAATTTGGAAGCCTTCATATATAAATGATATTAAAGGCCATAATTGGGTCAACTTGCCAAGTAATAGAAAAAAGAGAAGGTCCTGGGACTGACCCCTTTAAGCACTCTAATCATTAGAGGTCAGAGAGATGAAGATGCCACAGCAGTGAGACTGAGAAGGAAGCAGCCAGAGAGACCAAGTGAAGAGAGTGTTTCAAGAAGGTGAGGGATCCATCTGTCAAATGCTACCAACAGGGCAAATAAGTTGATGACAGAGAATTGACCACTGGATTGAGTAACATGGTTAAGATGCTCGTTTTAATGGCAGTTGTATTTAGACTACATTAGGGCCACAAAACTTTTTCTTAAACTGTTGGATAGTAGATATTTTGGCCTTGAGGGTCATAATAAGGTCTCTTTCATAATTGATCAATGCTGCTTTGGTAGTACAAAAGTAGCCATAGACAATATATAGTAAACAAGTATACCTGTGCTCCAATAACATTTTATTTATAAGAACAGGCAGCCAGCTCCGCAGTTGGCCAGTGTTTGAGCTAAATAAATAAGTTTTTATGAACAAAAATGTATCCTTGATCAAACTTTATAAAATATTAAATATATAAAACCTGCACTAAGAGATGCCCTGGAATACACTCCTTAGTGTTTCACTTTCTATTAACCCTCAGTCTACATAAATATTATGGAAGGAAAATGTAATGGAGTCAATTTCTGGCTCATAGCTGGATTATTCTGATTCAGAATTTGATTTCTTATACCTCGGATATTGTGCTAAATGCTTCTCATCCTTTATCTCATTTATCCTCACAACAACCCCTGTGAAGTGGGCATCCCCATTTTTTAGATGAGTGTAAGTAACTCACCGCAGGTCACACAACTGTTAGATGGCAGATGTGACAGTCAAGTCAACTGACTCCAGAACCCAACTTGTAGCCACTAGTTTGCAAGTATTTGTTAAACACATAAGAGAAGGTCCCTTTTTTGTTCAATGTCATTGACAGTTAAATACCAGTGCCATAGGTATAACTCTGTTTTGTACCATTTATATATATTTGAGAGGCCTTCTCAGAGCACAGACAAAAACAGCAAACACTGTACAAAACCCCCAAATTATCAAACATCCTCCAATACTGGCTAAAATTAGTGACTGCTACTTCTACCAATTATGACTCAGCCTAACTCCATTTTTTCCAACTTCTAAATGAGATTCATTAAATATTCAATACAAAAATTATCCCCAATTATCAATAACATTCAATCCAGAGCCCATCCCTGATTTTTTAAATTATTCCCAAAATCACATAACACAAACACAAATCCTATGAAATATCTTTCATCCTCTTCCTGAGTCACTGTAGGTTCAATGTGTGTGGTCTCCCTCCCTGCAGAGTCAACAAGCCTTTGTTAAAACTCTGGATGGATTCCTGTTGGTCCTTGCTAGAGGGCATCAATACTAGTTTTCTTAAATGAGTTTCCTTATTTTAACCCCATTTTCAGATAATAATTTAGAGTGGGAGCCTAAGGATGGACATACACTTTCATAACAAGGTCAAGTTGATGTTTTTAACAACTATTTTCTTTACTAAGAAGAAATGTCTTTTGATAATGTCTGGATTCAAAGCTATTTTGCTGATGGTAAAAGTCACTGGATGTCAGAACCTAAATAAGTGAGACATTATAATAAATGAATCACATTTCTCAGATAATAAGTCAACCTACATAATAACACATCTTGAATATACTAGATTTGGAGATCATGGTGGACGGGAGGCAAGACTGTATTGCAGCTTCCACTTGAGAGGAAAGAATAGCATGTGAAGGCTCACATTGTGAACCTTTGCTTCAAAATGACTACAGGAATACATTAGGAAAGCCAAAAAAAAAAACAAACAAAAAAAACCACCCAGAGACGTGCTGAAGAAAACAGATTGCTTCTGCAGGACCCAGCAGATACCCCAAATATTGTGAGCATGCAAATTGTGGAAATGGAAAAGGGAGATTGTCCACCCCTGAACATACTCCCCACTGGGGAGCCTGAAGGTCTAGATTACAGAAGATTCTGGCCTTACCTGGAGCAGAGTCAATTTAGAGAGCCAAGCAAAATACAGGTGTAGAATAAGCAACAGGAAAATCCCTGTGGGCTCAGTGGGTCCCCTAGCAGGCCATATCTGCTTCATATCACTGGGGTTCTTGAGGACAGCTGCCAGAGGCACTGGGAAAAGGCCACAGGGGGAAGGACACCTCCAGCTGAACTTTATAATAATTTCAACTGATTGAGAAGTTTCCTGGACAGAACTCAGGAAAGGGAGTGAATCCGGTGTGCAGACTCCACAGGCAAGGGAAGAAGGAAAGCTCTACTGACTTTCCCATCTGGGAGGCAAGCGGCCTGGGGCAAGTTCTCAGCCCTGCTCAACCACTGCCTGGAAACAGACTCAGTGTTGTTGGGACGGGGAGCATGGTGGGAATGAGACCGGCCCTTCGGTTTGTGTGGGAGCTCGGTGAAGCCTTGACTGCCAGCTTTCTCCCATTTCCCTGACCACCTGTGTGGCACAGCAGAGGCAGGCATAATCCTCCTAGGTATACAATTTCATTGACCTGGGAACCTCACCCTCACCCCAACAGCAGTTGCAGCAAGACCCACCCAAGCAGAGTCTAAGCTCAGACACACCTAGCCTTGCCCCCACATAATGGTCCTTCCCTACCCACCCTGGTAACTGAAGACAAAGGGCATATACTCTTGGGAGTTCTAGGGCCCCTCTCATTGCCTGTTCCTTTCCATACTACCACAGCTGATGCTCTCTTGAAAGCACCACCTCCCAGCAGGAGGCCAACCAACACAAAAAAACTGTAGAAACCAACCAAAGCTAAGGACCCTCACAGAGTCCATTTCACCCCCCTGCCACCTTCACTGGAGCAGGCGCTAGCATCCATGGCTGAGGGACCCACAGACAGTTCACATCACAGGACTCTGTGCAGACAGCCTCCAGTACCAGCCTGGAGCCTGGTAGACTTGCTGGGTGGCCAGATCCTGAAGAGAAATAACAATCACTCCAGCTTAGCCCTTAGGAAGCCACATACCTAGAAAAAGAGTGAGAGTACTACATTAAGGAAATCCCAATGGGACAAAAGGAATTTAATGACAGCCTTGAGCCCTAGAACTTCCCTCTGACAGAGCCTACCCAAATGAGAAGAAACCAGAAAAACAACTCTGGTAATATGACAAAACAAGATTATTTAACATCCTCCAAAAAATCACACTAGCTCACTAGCAATAGATCCAAACTAAGAAGAAATCCCTGATCAACCTGAAAAGAATTCAGAAGGTTAGTTATTAAGCTAATCAGAGGGGCACCAGAGAAAGATGAAGCCCAATGTAAGGAAATTTAAAAAAAATGATACAAGAAGTGAAGAAATAAATATTCAATGAAATAGAGAGCATAAATAAAAACAATCAAAACTTCAGGAAACAAGGGATGTACTCATAGAAATGCAAAATGTTCTGGAAATTCTCTGCAATAGAATTGAACAAGCAAAAGAAAGAACTTCAGAGCTCAAACACAAAGTTTTTGAGTTAACCCAATCCAACAAAGACAAACAAAAAAAAAGAATAAGAAAATATGAACAAAGCCTCCAACAAGTCTGGGGTTATGTTAAACAACCAAACCTAAGAATAATTGGTGTTCCTGAGGAAGAAGAAA